CGGTGGGCATGCAGGGCAGCGGCTCCCACTTTTTCCGGGAAAGGCTGAACCCCTCCACCGAGTCCAGTGGGCAGGACTGGTTCCCTGTAGGAGATGGAACAGCATCAGCCTCCCCCCACAGCCCTCCCTGCACCCCAGGGTCTGCCTTTCCCCCTTCACACACCTTTGACACCCCAAACGGAGCAGGGAATTAAGCAGGAGCACAAGAGAATTAGTGGCACCTCACAGGGAGGGCTGCCAGCACTGATGCCGCACCGAGGGCTCTGGCCCTGCACTGGCACCCTGCAGTCATCACCGGGAATAAGGGAAGGCAGCTCCAGCCCCGACAGGGCTCCAAAACAATGCCACACCACAGGGATCTGGGCAGCACCACTCGCCTTCCCCAGCACCTCCTCCTGCTGCACAGCATTGCCCCAGGGGAGCTCAGTGGGGTCCAGCAGCCCTCCCCACTGCATCCCTGCTGCTGAGTGACAGCGCTAACCTTTTCCCAGCTCTCTCAGGAGAGGGATGCGATGCTGCAGGCCTGTGTGGTGGGGCTGAGCTGGAGTGGGCTGTGCAAACCTGGCATGCTGCACGCTGAGCTGGGAAAGTCTGGCCAGGGGGCGAAAGGGGCAAACGGCAGGGCAGGAGGGTCCCCCCAGCACTCAGGGGGCACAGGAGGGACACAGTGGGCAGAGCTAAGGCTGCACAGCTGGAGAGAGCGTTGCGGTAACACCACAGTTTCCCACAGCCAACCTCCCCCCTGCCACACAAGTCACAAAGGATGGGGATGGGAACACAACCACTCGCCTACCCCTGGCATTACCGAGGCCACCCACAGCCACCACTCTTCCTCCAAGGCAGCCGGCCACGAAGTCGGCTCTCTTCTCCCTCATGCGGATGGCACGGCTTGGCTTGCTCCATGCACCTGGGGGCGAGAGGGTGCGAGCTGGTGCTCCAAACCTGGATGAACCACGTCCCTTGGGCACAGACACTCCCCGCCGAGACCCAAGGAGGCATCCCAACCTCACAGGGAATGCTCCCAGCCCACCCAGGGACACGGAGCTCACCCTGCGCGGGGTCAAACGTCTCTACGGTGTTGACGAAGTGGGGGCGGGAGTAGAAGTTGTGGGGCCCTGGCTGCTGCAGTCCCCCCAGGCTGAAGACGATGCCGTCAGCCATGGCACAGGCAGCGAAGGCGCGGCGGCTGGGCACACTGGGGTAGCGCGTCCAGCTCCTCGTCTCCAGGTCGAAGGCCTCAAAGGCAGTGACGGGAAGCTTGCCCTGTCGGCCCCCTGCACACAGACCAGATGCTGCAGCTGCCGATGCCCCGAGCCTGCAACATCGGTGGGGGCCGGG